TCTGGTATTCAGGCAGGGGTAGCGTAGTGGGAAGTTGCGCACTATTACCTTGTATACTCAGGGAATCGAATCCCGAAACGTCACCCACGCAGACCAACCAAGGGGTCCATTCCCCAGAGTCGGTTGATTGGTACCAGACGCTTCTGCGAGGATAAAAGCTTGAACATTGGCTGCTCATCACAAATCGTCGAATAGCCCAAGTACGCACCCAAACTCAAATTTCCTTAACTTAAGAACTAATCATCGAAGGCCACCTCTGCCCATTACCCATCGATTGACTCGCTTCCCCTTCACAATTAAAAGGGAAGGGGTTTTTCGTTTTTTAAAAAATTTTTCTAATCTTACAAGGAGCAGTATCTTGAATAGTAAGAACAAGTACCGTTGAATCCATTCCGAGTTCGAACGCTGAGTCCACGATTCCAATGCCATATTTGTTCAGGCCACACGAGGACCACATTTTTTGCTAAGGTTTCTGGTTTCTCATTCGTTAGAAGGTTCTGAAACTTTAAAGCTACTTTTTGCCGTGAAAATAGAAATCGTGAACGGCCACAGACATTTTGATTAATACTACAAATATCAAAAAGCAGAAAATTAGTGAAAAAAAANAAAAAAAAACAAAAAGTCGAGTATGTAAAGGAACCCGCCGGGCAAGACCGGCGGTATCAAACCACCGACGGGCGGCCCAATAGTTGATTTGCAATGGTGACCCGCCCTCAGTAACTTGACCTATCATTACTTTTTTAAATTCACATATAAAGGATTGAGTAGAACGTTGTCGTCAGCCCACTTCATTGTTCAAATATGCCAATGTAGGGATTACTTTAAAAGAAGTCCCAAATAATTTGAAAAACTCAGAAATCCTCCAAAATCAGCTGCTCAGTGGTGCATGGATGCCAGTACTTTTTGGACTTCCTATACCATTGTGTAATTGGACACTTTGTAACTTTGTAAGTGGTTGGGAACACTGTGATATCAGGAGATGCTCGTCTTTGTCGTTCACTGCCGTATCAGTCGGCTATTTCCGCGGGTTTCGTACATCTCCAAAGTCAAATGGAGGTTTATTTACTGGTCAATCCACTTACTGTCCACCACTCAGTCCAGCTTTTCACCGAATATTTCCATATATTTTTGACAGAGCCTCCTTCTTCGATTGATTTCTCGATAATCGACCTGCAGAAACCAGAAACGGTTATTTATTACTCATAGGATCCTTTATGGTCACGAAAGTTTTTCTCAAGTCCCTTCATTCACATTGCCCATACTGGAGCACAGAGAAGCTCAGACCACGCCGTATCACCCTCTCTATCTGACTGTTGAGCCTTTACCTTACTTTTCTGCCTCACCTAGACAGACATAAATATGAAGTGACATCCCAGGACCTACTTTCCCATGACCAAAAAGCTTCCTCTTATTGAGATGAAGTCGTCTAAATGCTTCTTAAGCATCATAAGAAGGAACAACTCTTGGTGATGTTGCGCTACTCGAAAAGCTTCATTCTCACACCGCCATTATCCTTCATATTCTGAAGTACCTAGCAGGCTATTGTATTTCAGGAAAATGTTGAAATGATCGAATGATTTGTTCAAACAATAGGGACCTTTCTATTTTCTCTGGTAATCTGTTCACATAGTTTCGCACGCTCACGCTGATAGAATGTTTCCATTGTCAGAGCATCCCCAGAAGACTTGTTCATATTCACTGTTGGGTACGGCCAGAAGTGTGCCGGTCAAGATAGGTAATCCTAGAAGTTATCTCTCGCAATCTTTCAATGCTCCCTTAAAAAATTTAATTAATTTCAGGCAATTTCAGGAATCCGAAGGAACTGTCGAATCCAACCAAATTTGTTGTGCTTTACTTTACTGGCTTTATTTCTAGTAGCACCAGCCAGTTGATTCCTAAATTCTCATACCTTCCCAATATCAATTGGGTTTGATTTTACTGGTTTCATTTCCGATAATCTCCACTAGTCGTCCACCCAGCGCCCACCTTCGGCTCCGATTTTTCAGCGGGTTTCGTTAATTTATGCATTGCCTCTGTCAGAATCGAATATTCCCTTTCAACTCCAGGGAAAATTCTCCCAAAGTCGTCTTCGTTTTCATTCTCGTCAGACTTCTCCTACCTGACTGAAACCTCAGTAACTGCATTCGAAAGTACATATTCAGTAGATTCTCAATAATCCCTGGAGGATGGACGGAGGTCTACTGGGAAGTTTTCAATGCCCACATCCAAACGCTGAACAACTGAGCAACTCGTACCGAGTACTGCTTTCCGTATTTTACCTTGGACCCTTTCATTACTTTATTTCCTAACTGACTTGTAAATACGAAGCGTCAGACTGACAACTCGTCCGGATTCCACAAGAGGAAGATGACCAGATGTCTCCCAGTCAAGACGGACAAGTCGAAATGAGGTAGTCACCACCCGACCAGCGATTCTAGATTAGTGCAGATGGTCAAGAGACACCATCGTGCGACCTATTTTTGGCGGGGGCGACCCCGATAGGGTTTCCTGTCACACTCCCTTCACCGTCTTGAAACGAAACTGCAGTATACTGTACACACCGATAGATATGGCGATTTGTACGCGAGAAAATATGACGTAGTATATTGAAATGCATTTAATATTTATGTACAGAAAAACAACACTCAATATTTATAGATGGAAAAACGCATCTTTTTTTGACGTCACTCATTGCAATCACCTAAAAGCTGACGACGTTAGGGGGGTCATTAAGAGATCCCAATGGAAGCGAAAGATAAAATGAGTGTCGGGGCAGGCTAATGCCACCATATCCGAGACAAAAATCTTTGAGATCGTAGTTTTGGATGTGGTACAGCTTTAGAATCGGCGACATGGTTCGTGGATTGATCCAACAGCAACATTCGCCGGTAAACATCTGCCAGTCCATTTGGTTCGTGCCTTTCTAAAAAATCCTTTTTTTTCATTTTGAAACCCAATCGTAGAGGTAAGTTAAATTGAGGTTTAAAGGATTCTGTTGGAGAATTCGCCGTTGGCGTTCGACGTACCTTCTGGGACAAGGACGAAGACTTTGTCGTCGAGCGGCTGGCTTCGTTTCAAGGGTGGTTCCCTTAGTGGAATTCGATCTGACAGCTGTGAATTTGTTGACGGATAGACATAGGAATCACGTTTGTCGCCTCTTTTCAATGGTGGCTCCTTGATCAGTGTGGGAATCGAGAATGGATCTATTCCTGGAAGTAATCCGTCATTCTTTCAACAACGGGAAACCATTGACTCGGAGATGACATCCTCCCCGAATGCTCCGGTAATTCAATCCTTTTGATTCTCTGTGTGCTTACCTCTTTTTATTAATGGAGGCTCACGAACTAGCCGTTTTTGAGGTTCTTCAGATGTTGGATACTCGTTTACATAGAAGAGTGCCTGGTCGCCTATAATCACTATAATCACCTATAATCAGCAGCATACGGTATTTTCTTTTCGAGAAACATTTTTAAAAGAGCTTGGTTTTGAGAAGGTGGCTCACAAGTTACCTAAGCTCGCATTTGTAGCTCCTTTACCTTACCAGACAGGGTATTCTTCAGATTTTCTCAATCATATTCACCCATATCACCACGAATGTCTCACAGTGGGCCATACCGCTCCCAGAGGGACTCCTTGCCCACTTCAGTTATGTTCAAGTTGTTTACCGAATTTGTTTACCTGAGAAATCTGAATTCAATGAATTTCCATAGAATGTCGCCCCACTTGAAATGCATAAAAGTGCAGATAGAACTGTCACAGAGTACATCTGAAAATAATCAGCTGGTAAATGGGCAGAAAATAATTTGGCATGGAAACGGATACCGTAACGCCCCCACAGAGGAGGCCGCAGCAATTGACAAAGAAACAGGAAACTAAGCAAATAAAACGCACGAAGGAGGACTCATGTTGCTAAATAGCCTTTTTGGGAATGAAAACAATTGACATAACAGAAAAAGGATAGAAATGATTGAGATTGTAAAAATAAGGGGCCTTTGGTGCTTTGGTGGGAGATTTACATGAGTTGCAAGGAGAATTCGTTGGGATGAGCCGATGGGATAAGAAAGGGACGATGTCAGTGAAACGTTATTTTTGATGAAATCGGCGATTTTTGTGCCCTAATTTTGGTAATACATATAATAATTTTGTGCACTGGATCTGAAAACTTTTAATTTTTTCTTTTTTTTTTCTCGTCCTTCCTCTAATTTTCTAAAATTTTTCGCTTTGAAAAAATTCCAGTCACTGGCAGAGTCGTACGCTACCATCGCACGTGACTGAATCATTAGTAGCAGGCCTTCAGTCCAAAGCCCGAGAATACCACGCCCAAACAGACGAGAACCACGCCCACCCGATTGCATGGACATAGCACAATGTTGGGCGCATCCTTTGGACACGATTGATCAAGGACTTTTTTGAACGAGACTATCAAGACCATAGATACCCTTGAGTTTTTATATTCACTTACAGTTGATTTTTCGCTTGCATTTTACCAACTGAATGTGTGTTCAAACCTCTTATTTGATTACCTTTTTATTTTATTTCCATTCGCACTATGATCATTAAAGGATACGGGATGAGATTCGGATCGATTCGTCTTCTGGATGCGCCCCCAAAAATACTTGTACATTGTTCTAGTTTATATTTCATTTCCTATCCATATTTGAATTTATTTCATTCTATTTTTATTATATCAAAATATGAACGCCATACGTTATGGGCAGGGGTGGTGTAGTCGATATCGCCTTGGGCAACCAAGCCTTCCATCTCTCCGGGGTCGGTTCATTGGTGCCAGCACCGTCTGGGAGGATAAAGGCACTGACTTATACATTGGCTGGCCCCTGCAAGTGATTCTATAGGGAACGTGCGCATTCAGTACGAACTACGATTCTGAATGGAAGCTGACTGCGTGGGCGCATCCTCCAACCGGGTTGATTAACGCCCCGGGACTGATCCTCTATTATAACAGCGCTACTACTATTCTCTTTGTATTGTAAACAACAATTCATTATGCATAAATATTTCCTAAAGATTTCAGAGCAAACGAGCAAGGGATGTATCATCAAGACTGTCATACAGTCAAATTCTCTAGGACGCTTCTTCGCTTACAACCGTACACCTACATATTAGGTTGATGCAGAATTATTGCGGGTTTTTTTTTCAACAATTTTCATGCAAAAGAAAGATGAAAATATCTATCAAATACATGTTCAAATAATTACTCCGGAACGTATTCACCATCTGTTTCAAGCATTGCTTCTTATTTGCTAGGTAGTCGGATTCCATAAGCAAAGAAATTCCGGTCCTTGAAGGCGACCCTCACCTTGACATCGGTCATTAAGTCTTCCATTTCGGCGTAAGGCCTGTTTGTTAGCCAATCCTTGAACAAACGGGTGATGTGATAACTTATAGGGTTTCCGTGGGTTAATACGGAGATTTAGGAGCAAATCCCGGTCCTCAGTTGGCTTTGGCAATTGCATCGCCAAGAAGTTCGTTGAGATCGCGTAATGAGTGTGCCACATTCCACCATTTCTCGAAGTGATGGAGCATTATGTGGCGAGTAGGAAGATGACTTTCTAGACATATTTCTATTGAGGAAAGCGAGTAGATCATTTCTATAGAAATCCCGATTTCGATATTGAAATTGTATGGAGAGAAAAGGAGTCGCGAAAAAATCGGCAATATTTATGCATCAACCTATTACACGCACCATCACATGGGTATGCAACAACTGGGGTTCGAAATAGAGGAGGCGGGGACGGATGTTAAAGCTCTCTCATATTTCAGTATGAGAACTCAAATCATAGATAGAGAACAGACAAATCGGCGGGATAGCCTCTGCGCTACAAGTCGGCTGAAAAAAGCCGACGTTTCAGAATCAATTCAGGCAATTCAATAGCCTTCAATACCGCTAAATTCCCGCCCACTACAAATAAGGATTATCAGAATCTCATTTGACTCACGACATATGTACTTTGCAAAAACTCCCCAGCCTTCTTGTCTCAGGGTTCGAGAGTCCTTAAACGAAAGCCTTAATCAGCCGCCTCCCCCTCACCCACCCACGTCTTAGTCCAGCGAGAAAACGTGTAGAAAACGGATTTGAGAGCATCAAGAAGGAATTGATGTTGATATCGGTATAGAACGAACACAGATTCATACTAATACAGGAGCTGAGGAGGCAGGATACTTACAAAATCGCATACGACGAGGCTCCACGAATCCTAAGCGAAGGCTAGCTATCGACAGATCCCATTGAAAAAGAAGGTCCGAGAGAAAAGCAAAGGACTTCGAGGCCTCTGGAAGTCAACAAAACTGATTTTTTCCCATGATACCAAGGATGGAACAGCTATACTTTGTCCCAAATTTAACAGAGAGATTCGTTATTNATCCCATTGAAAAAGAAGGTCCGAGAGAAAAGCAAAGGACTTCGAGGCCTCTGGAAGTCATCAAAACTGATTTTCTCCCATGATACCAAGGATGGAACAGCTATACTTTGTCCCAAATTTAACAGAGAGATTCGTTATTTAGGCATCATTGAGCCGTCATTAAGGTAGGACGCGTTCAAAAAACATAAGGAAAGACAGAAGAGAGGGTAAAATGCCGTGGAATGGAGCTGTTCAAGAGAAACGAGCCGTGAACGATTGCGAAGCAGCAGCAGCTCTGACGTCGGCACTTCCTGTCCATGGATCATGTCCGTTGCACTTACCTTCCAATGCCTGACCTGCCCCCACCCACCTGATTCTTCACCACGACAATGATCGGACAGATTCGAAAGAGGAGCACCGGGGAAGGAAGATTTCTGAGCTCAGCACAAACCAGACAGGCAATAGGAGCACCAAGTTATGCCGTTCTTTGGAAATCTTGGTTTTTTATCGCAATAAAATAATCCCCGTAGGATTCCCCCAGCTTAGGTGGGAAAAGCCATCTGAGCAACGAGATAAATCCCTACTCAGTCATGTTTTCAGCAACAAAATGAACTAGCATTTGTACAGATTTACAGATGAACACATGACTACAGTATGTTCTCGCAAAAAAATTGAATTGAATTGGTTTCTTTGTTTACGTATTTCTAAGAGGATTCCGATGATAAGCTATTGAAAGCACGAGATTTTCCTGTACACTTGTCGCTAAGCACTGTGTAAATTGGGAGGAATGAAATGTGGGGAACGGGATGCTCTATAAGTGTCATCACCTTTATCAAACGTGGGCTACAGAATTGTAGTGGCAGGTGGCATACACCATCGCACGCATAGAATGTGGATCGAGTCCCGAACGGATGCTCCCCTACCCAAACAGTCCTTGTTTATCCCTCCAAAGTCGATACGATTTCGACTGGAAGTCGAATGCGGGGCGTATCCCAGAAATGGGATTCCTCGACGCCAAAAAGGCTTCATAAAGACTTTATACTCCAGAATCGTATCCGGATCGAGACCAACCCAAGTCAATTAGAAACAGATCTATACACCCACATATAGTCGCGGAACAGCTCTTTAAGTCATTGTACAGGACATACAAGCATTCAAATCTTAGTACAACCCTGAGTGGAAGTCGATAGCATGGCGTATACCGAAACCGATTCATCTATACCAAAAGTACAGTAGTAAGTAACTGATGATAGGTTAGCCGTAATAGAAAGTGTAAATATAAAGCTACAGTAACTGACGAGTAGCAGCTTCCGAACTCGAATGAGTGAAACGAAACGGAAAATTCTTGGAAGGTCGTGGCTGCTTGTGCTGTTTTCATATTGACGTCATGCAAACAGTAAACAACGCCGATACGACCAATGTTACGCCCACTTCAGAATATTCTAAATTGGGAACGTAACGATGCTAAGAGTTATGTTGTGGGTCCCAGGTGAAACGTCGTTAAGTAAGGATAGCAACGCAGAGCTACATACACATAAAGATATTCGGGTGGGCGGAGGCAGAATGGCCCCGACATGTGGGGCCCCGATTCCCGCCCAGGTTGTCTTCCGGCCCTCTATATGGCTACTGGCTAGACCGTGATTCTGAAGGTAGAAAACTTACCTAAATCCTAGTTCTGGATGGACGGGCGGTGGAAAAGCAGGGTGAAAGTTGAAAAGTTTAAAACGTCATCGAGATAGGGAAACGTCTGTGGCAATGGTGGTTTGAAGTTTGTTATCCAATCTTGTAAATGCAAAATATTCTCATAAGACAGGGCTTAATCCTATGAGCCACTGAATCGTAGAAAACTGAAGAGCCGATAAGGCGAAAACAGCGATTCCACCATCATCGGCATTCGCTGACGCAGGAACTTCATTGATCCTTTTTGATTTATCCCCGAATTCCGATATCTCATCCTCCAACTCATCGCTTCTACTTCCCATACCCACGCAACTTCGAAAGAAGCGTCTGTGTACCTTTATTTCCACTCAGACTGGCAGTGACGGTTTGGCCTACACAATGAGGTCAGACGATGTAAAAGTTAAGGCTTTCGTCCCCCAGACGAGTCTGGTACCAATGAACCGGCACCAGAGGAATGAAAGGCTTGGTTGGTCTAGGCAGGCATCAATCCAGGATTCGAACCCGTGATCATACAGTGTAAGAATGCTTCACTTACCCCTACACCACCTCCGCAATTTGTAGTACATATGAAATTGGTTTTCTAAAAATAGCTTCTTCTCATTCAGAATAATCCGCTTTTACCTCCCTAGCGCACTGTAGGGCACTGTATCGCCCTTCCCAACTGACTAATGTAAGTTGTGATATGTCCTCCTCCTCCCCCTTTCTTCACGACCTTACTCTCCCTCCC